GCAGCTGCGCCGAGCACGCCGAGAGGCCGGCTCCGGCGTCTCCTCCTCCCCCCTGGAACTGGACACGGCGACCTGGGAGCCTCTCCTCCCCCGGCAATCTCCCGGCTTCCGAGGATCAAATTCCCCCAATGGGGTCCCACGAGCTCCACCGAGCTCCCGCCGCCCTGGCTGCCCTTCCCGTCGTCTAAGCCTCGCGGGGCAGCAGCACCTATTTATTTCCCGTCCCCTCTGGCAAAACTTCAGACCCCGCAGATGAACCCGAAGAGAGGAAGCGAGGGAGAAAGAAAAACAACAGTAGAACTCAACGGAGGTCGTTGGTGCTCCGCGGTGGCACGTCCCCTGGCTACAGAAAGGTGCTAAAAGAAGCATGAAAGTCTCCGCAGGGAGGAGGAGGGCGTGCGGAGGCCGAGCAGGGAAGGCAAACCAAAGAGAAAAGTCCCCCGGGGGGCGGGGCGGTGTGCAGTAAGGGTTTGCAGGTCTTGCAAGCTGAGCCAAAAGATCCACTTTTTGCTGGGAGCTGCCGCGGCTGCAGCGCCCACGGCCGGGAGGAGCCTCGACGGGAGGTCTGCGCCCGGGACCGCGGGTCCCCGCCTTCCTACCTCCAGGCCAGCTCCGCCCCCGGTGCAGACCCAGCCTCCAACGCCGGCCCCCCTCCCTAGGAAGTAAAGGAGCGAGAGAAGGAAGGGCTGTGGGTTGGAAGCGGAGGGGAGGGGGAGCCTGGAGCAGTAAGGACGCGATAAACCGAGACAGCTCCGACTGGAGACCTGCACGTCTACCCCACCCCCACCCTGCGGAGCCTCCCGGGCTGGCCCCGAAGGAGAGCCTCCAGCCCCTGACTGAAGAGCCACCCCAACTTCCAACTGAGGAGTCTCCCCAGTTCCGCACTTGGGAACCCACCCAGCCCCAATCTCCCTGGTAACGGAAGCTACAGCGTTATCGGTGGGAGCACCACAGTTCTGCAGAAAGTCAGACAGGAAGGGGAAGGACTGAAGCAATGTCACTTTGAAGGTCCAAGTCGCAGAAAACATGGACCCTTGTGGCAATGGTGGAGCCTTAACCAGAGCTCCTGGCTACAGCGGTCTGCACTTTAGATAATTAGGTGGAAGGAAAATGCCTTTCATTTAAAAAAAAAAAAAAAAAAAAGGACGAAGAAGAAATGCTGAAAACAATTGCAAATAGGCCTCCAGAAGCAAAAAAATAAATAAAAATTTTTTTCTTTCATTTTTCTTTCTTTGCCCTGCAGACAAAACCTTTGAGTTTTGCTTTTTTTTTTTTAATCTTAAGAAGGAAAACTAATTGCTTTAAAGCACTTGAACATAAAATGGCACTTAATATTTAACTCTCCTCACCAACAATTTCACCTAACACTTGAGGGAAATGTGTAGGAAAATTACACCACAAATAATAAGGATGATGATGGTGACAACAATAAAATCCTTCCCATCCAAATGAGCTCAGTCTAGAGAGGCAAATAGAAAACAGACCCCCTCCGGGTCTGCTCCTGCCACTAATGAGCCGCCTCCCCCACCCGCTCCAGGGCGTGTTGTAAATGGAGTGACCTGCAGAGGCCCGCACCCTGCCCTCTCGATGGGAAATCGCAGAGCAAAGGGACTGCAGGCTGTCAGAAAACACAGCCCTCATTGAGAGGCGAAGGAAACAAAGCCCAAAACAAAACAGGAAGTCACCTTTGCTCTACATCATTGAGACGTTTCACTGCTGAAATCCATCCTTTCTCCGCCGATAACAAGCAGGAAAAGGACGCCCCCACTTTAGAGCACACAGTGAGATGTCGGTTGCCGTTCTCCAGCCCTGACTTGACAGCACTTAGGAAACCTGATGCTAACTTGAGATGATGAGATTTTATCTCTAAAATGACGATAATCAGCAATGTGTGCCTGCAGTAACATTTTTCAGAAGGAAGTTTGTTCCACTTAGGGGGATCAAAACAAAACAAAACAGATGGTAGGTAGGGAGTCAGTGAGTGTACAAACTTTGCCTGGTCTACAATTATTGTCATTTAAAAAAATAAGAAAGTCAAAAATTATTTAGCAAGTAAAATTGAAGTGGAAAAATTTTAAAACAGTCGATATTCGAGCATTTGGGGCCTATTCTGTATTAAGGAAATATAGGTGGGATTTTTAATAAATTAGAAGGAAGAAGTGAGGGGTAGATAGAATAGATTCTTTGCTAAAACATTTTCCTGGTATCTTAAATCTTCACAGTGTAAGAAGAAATGTAGACAGTTGGAGAGCCAGTGTCTTAATGGTTCTCCAACTGTCTACAATGAAGTTCGTTTTTCTTCCCCTTTACAAAAGTCAGTTATCCCCTTTGTCTAACATATTCCCTCACAACTTTTCTCTAACCCAAAACTGTCTTTATCAAAACTCAAAATGAGTTTCAGTGCCTCCCAGAGGTCTTTTTGGCCATTTTTCTAGCTAGTGTCCCTTGACTGTTTAATCTTAAGAAGGAAAACTAATTGCTTTAAAGCACTTGAACATAAAATGGCACTTAATATTTAACTCTCCTCACCAACAATTTCACCTAACACTTGAGGGAAATGTGTAGGAAAATTACACCACAAATAATAAGGATGATGATGGTGACAACAATAAAATCCTTCCCATCCAAATGAGCTCAGTCTAGAGAGGCAAATAGAAAACAGACCCCCTCCGGGTCTGCTCCTGCCACTAATGAGCCGCCTCCCCCACCCGCTCCAGGGCGTGTTGTAAATGGAGTGACCTGCAGAGGCCCGCACCCTGCCCTCTCGATGGGAAATCGCAGAGCAAAGGGACTGCAGGCTGTCAGAAAACACAGCCCTCATTGAGAGGCGAAGGAAACAAAGCCCAAAACAAAACAGGAAGTCACCTTTGCTCTACATCATTGAGACGTTTCACTGCTGAAATCCATCCTTTCTCCGCCGATAACAAGCAGGAAAAGGACGCCCCCACTTTAGAGCACACAGTGAGATGTCGGTTGCCGTTCTCCAGCCCTGACTTGACAGCACTTAGGAAACCTGATGCTAACTTGAGATGATGAGATTTTATCTCTAAAATGACGATAATCAGCAATGTGTGCCTGCAGTAACATTTTTCAGAAGGAAGTTTGTTCCACTTAGGGGGATCAAAACAAAACAAAACAGATGGTAGGTAGGGAGTCAGTGAGTGTACAAACTTTGCCTGGTCTACAATTATTGTCATTTAAAAAAATAAGAAAGTCAAAAATTATTTAGCAAGTAAAATTGAAGTGGAAAAATTTTAAAACAGTCGATATTCGAGCATTTGGGGCCTATTCTGTATTAAGGAAATATAGGTGGGATTTTTAATAAATTAGAAGGAAGAAGTGAGGGGTAGATAGAATAGATTCTTTGCTAAAACATTTTCCTGGTATCTTAAATCTTCACAGTGTAAGAAGAAATGTAGACAGTTGGAGAGCCAGTGTCTTAATGGTTCTCCAACTGTCTACAATGAAGTTCGTTTTTCTTCCCCTTTACAAAAGTCAGTTATCCCCTTTGTCTAACATATTCCCTCACAACTTTTCTCTAACCCAAAACTGTCTTTATCAAAACTCAAAATGAGTTTCAGTGCCTCCCAGAGGTCTTTTTGGCCATTTTTCTAGCTAGTGTCCCTTGACTGTTCATTTTTGAAAACTATTCTTTAGCACGTGGCAATTTATTGCTTCAGAAAAAAAATTTTTCATTACTCAACTGGATGTGCGCTGCCTTCCTTAAGAGCATGTATGACTTCTTAAAGAAGAGAATTCTTCTTCTATTTCTTTTGAAATAGGCATTTGAGAAATGTTGGCCGGTGGCACTTAAAAATGCAGTATTTTAAATATTAAGTATACATGTCTTAGAGATGTAAAATCTAATTGAGTAAATAGTGATAGTTAAGTTTGAAAAGTAACCTGTATGGTCCTGGCTGGTGGGCTCAGTGGTTAGAGTGTCAGCTTGTGCACTGAGGATCTCAGGTTCCATTCCCAATCAAGGGCAGTGCCTGGGTTTCAGGTTTGAACTCCGCCCCTGATCTGGGCGAGTGCGGGAAGCAACCAATCTATGTCTCTCACATCGATGTTTCTCCCCCTCCCTTCTGCTCTCTCTAAAAATCAATGAAAAAAATATCTTCACTCCTTGGGTGAGGACTTAAAAAAAAAAAAAAGCTGTATGATCATGAAGGAAACACAAATTAGACACGTCAAAATGAGTGCCTTCAAACAAGCCCACATTTAGAGAAAACCAAGGGAAGGGTGAAACCTGGTGCCCCAGAGGAAATGGGTCACAGGGAATTTGTTTCTCTGGGGTTCCAGTGCATACGGTTCGGTTTAACTGACAGAACACTGATCTCTGTAACTTGCACATGGGTTAAATGAAAGATAGCTGATTGCTTTAGTATTGCCCCATATCTGGTGAAGAAATTTCAAAGTACATAGTGGGCAGACAACACACAAAGGGCTTGGAGGACTGGAGTTTTTAAATGAGATTTTGATGGGCATAGCTATAGTGATCGTTTAGAACTCATCTTTTAGAACTGAGAATGAAAAATCAATGAGTTTTATGCACTGGGTTTTATATTTGAGAAAGTTGTCAAGGTGGCAAATGCAAATTATTAGTATAACAACATCCCACTGACAAATATTTTATGGAGACTAGATTCCAGGACCTCAAACGGCTCTCCAAGGCACATCCAGAGGGCCTCTCTCCAGGACACTCCAGCGTAAGGGAAGAGCTATGGCACAGCACCGCTGAGCAGCTACT